TTGTTTTTATATAGTTGTTAAACCGATAAATGTTATATACTAAAAAGTTTTTATCTATTTCAACGGATAATATTTATTTTAACGAAGTGTAGTAGGTTGTAGGTAATCGACCATGCTGATTTCGAATATGATATTCATTTGGGTTCTTAGCCCTTTCCTGGCCGATATCTGGAAAACCAATTTTCGAGTAACCTCGAAAAAAACCTAAAACCTATAAATAAGTCACGATTGTAGCCAGCGAAATTCTACCAAAATGAGACATCTCCGAGATCTACACACACTCTCTTTGCAAAGTTATAGAGTTTACAAGAAAAGTCCTCAATGCATTTGTCGATTTTCTTTCTGTAGCTCTGAGGCGCAATGAACATTTAGGGCTTTTCCTGTAAACTCTATAACTTTGCTAAGAAAGTGTGTGTAGAGCTGGGAGATGTCTCATTTTGATCAGAATTTCGCGGGCTACAAAGGTGGCTTATTTAGAATAAGTTTTGGATTTTTTCGGAAAACTGGTTTTCCAGAAATCGCCCAGGAAAGGCCTATGAACGCAAATGAATATCATATTCGAAATTAGCATGATCGATTACCTACAACCTACTACATTTCGTTAAAAAACGAAAGTACATTTGAGGAAGTTCACTCGTTCGTAGAAGATATTGTTAGTAATTCGTTTTTCTNCGTTTTTTCTATTATTTCTACTTTTTAGCAAGAATTTAGCAATACATTTGGTTTTACTGTGATTGTTCTTCGGTTTTTTACAATTGCTGGAAAACATGTTTGTTTTATATCAGACTAATGTTTAGTTCTTACCATTAAAATAAGTTTCTATTTAGGCTATATTAGAAATGCTCATGTTAACAATAATTGTTTCATTTTTAAAAGTTTCTTTATTATATTTGGCATACTTTTAGTAATGCTGGTATATGCATTTGTTGGCTTTATTTTATTTAGATGTGTCAAATTTGGTCCCTAGCTTAGACGGTATGTTTCCTACTATAATAAAATAATTTCTAATGTATTCATAGTTTTGTATTATTTTTAGACATGCTAATTTTAAAAATATTTCCAATGCCATCGTACTTTTAATGAGAATTATAATGGGTGACGACTGGAATAAAATTATGCATGATTGCATGGTATGTTAGACTATTTATCAATATTTTCCTCTATATAAAAACTGTTCTATATTATGTAAGTTGTTCCACCACGTTGTACACGTAGTTGTAATTATTGGAAGAGTGATTGTGGCAATTTTACAGTATCGATTTTATATTTTTGTTTGTTTTGTATCATTATATCATATATAGCTTTAAATTTATTAGTCGCCATTATTATGGAAAATTATTCATTATTTTATTCAAACGAAGAAGATGCATTACTCAGTTATAACGATATAGGACATTTTCAAACAGTATGGAATATGGCAGATATTTCAAGAAAAGGTGTTATACCAGCGAGACGAGTCAAATTTTTATTAAGATTATTGAAGGTATATATATATATATAATTTTAATCGATAAAACATGATAATTCATTTAGGGACAATTAGAGGTTGATGCAGAAAAATTGTATAAACATATGTGTTATGAAACAGGAAAATTGAATAATGGCTCTGACATTAAATTTCACGATGTTTTAAAGTATGTGTTTACTTCTATTATTGTTAAAAATAAGAAGAAAGCTAACATTTTTAATATATTCAAAAAACCAGTTATGTCATGATTTTTCTTTTTAGTATGTTAGCCTATCGTTCTGTAGAAATTCGTAAATCTCTACAATTTGAAGAATCGTTAGCACGTGCAGAACTGGAATTGAAGAAGAAGTAGCCAAATTAACAATTCGAAATTGGTTAAATAGATCTATGGTATCGTTTACATATTACAAATTTATCACCAAGTACATTATTTCTCAGTATATTGAAAACTTGTTTTGATGAACATTATAATGAGCCACGACAACTAACAACAAAAGATGTAGCTAGTCTATTAAGTAAAGATATCTTTGAATTTGTTGATAAACTATTAGATGATGTTAGTGTAACTGAAATGTTAAATTTAAAAACAACATTTTCTAGTGATAGTAGTATTGATATAAAAGATGAAGCTACAAAACTATATTTATCTCAAGGTAGTGATAGTAAAAATCGAAAAAATATGTGAACGGTTAGGCATGCACCAATCCGATAGTTCGATAAGCGAACGGTTCGTTGCCAAACATGTTCAGTTACCCCTTTGGGGACCGCTCACGCATATGTGCGTTTTGACGTTTTTTTTTATAAAATTACGTCATGTATTCTTTCCTTACCTCATATGTACTTTTCCATCTTCTATCTTCTTCGATGACGTCACATGTTC